TTTTTGGGTTCATTGAGAACATGGTTGTTGTTCAATAATAAAATTATTCCTCAAAAATACAACTTGCCTAATAATTCTGCACTCCCTGTATATATGACCCTGTTAATCAAGAATAAAACATTTATGTCTGTGTTTAAAAATAATTGCTTGGTTTTTAGTAAAACCAAAGAAAGGAAGAATACAGAGGTCAGTGAACAAAGACTGTCTTGAGACTGGGATGAAGGTTTCCTGTGACCAAATGCAAACAGTTGTGTTGCTCACTGGTGTTCACTTGGTCGGCTACATTTGAACCTCATCTGGAACATCTGGAGAAACTTTAATGTGCCAACTGTCAGTGCTGATAGACTTAGAGTGATAATAAATTACTACAGGTGTATGAAGCCTGTGGTGTGTGTACTGCGTTAGAAGACCAAAAATTTGGGAATGTTCAGCTCTGCATTTCTTGCACAAATTCCAGTGTTTTCCAAAAACTGTGGAAAAGTGTGTTTTCAGCTTGCTCAAGCATGTATTTGCATCAGATTTTGGATCAATTTGTGTCTTTTGCACAAACTTTCTTGATGTTTTAAAGTGCCAGTGAAGTTGAAACCCTGTGGCGATACAAAGTGTCTATGCGGTGTACTTACAGATGGCCAAATGCATAAATGTGAGAGATGTCAAGCAGTCTTTTTGACTTGAGTTATAAATATATAATATTAAGGCATGTACTGCCTCCAGCCATGATTTCATGCTAAGAAAGGCATCTTTACTCAGAGTAACAGTCTTTTAATATTACACAAAGATACAATAATGCATTTCAAATTGATATTTCATTTATTAGGGGAAAAAAACTATCCACACCTACCTGTGCGCTCCCTGATCCTAATAACTGGTCAAGCTATACTCTACTTGCAAGAACGACAATCGGTTTAGACTCAGAGATGGACTTACTGGTGTGTCTCTGGTCATTTTCTTGATGCATAACCCAAGTGTGTTTAAGCACCAGGGCTTGAGCTGATGTCCATACATTCTCCTAAACAAAATTAATGGTTCCACCAATTGAGGCAAGTCATCCCAGTCCTGAAGCAGCAAAGCAGCCCCAGACCATCACACTACCACCATCATATTTGACTGCTGGTCTGATGTTCTCGTAATGAAATGTTGTGTTAGTTTTACGGTGGAAGGAATCAGACCTTCCAAAAAGTGCAACCTTTGTCTTGTCATCCAAAAAAAATATCTTCTCAAAAGAGTTGTGGATTATGAAGATGTTTTGTGAAAACATGAGACGAGACACGGAGTTATTTTTGTCAGCAATGGTTTTCTCCCTGAACTCTCCCATTAATGCTATTTTAACCCTGTCTCTGACTTATTGTTGAATCATGAACTCAAAGTTTCCAGGGTTTATTTTTATCTTGGGGTTATTATTTTTAGTAATCCTGTATTTGAGTTTATTAGTTTTGCCACCTAGTTTCTGTTTAATGATGCATTCTTTCTTTTAGTTGTCCTTCTCACTCACTCATTATTGTGTGTATAAGTGGCCTTAGTTTACCTTTGTGCTCCTTGTTGTGTCATACAGTTTTTAAGCCCGTCTGCTCTCCAGTGTTGTTCTGCATTTGGGTTCTCATTTTTGTTACATTCCTAAATATGACACTGGCTTCTTTTGAGACCTGCTGGATTAGTCGTCTGTGTGCTTTTTGAGGAATTTTGGTAGACTGGAAAGATTCACCACTGTTCCAAGCTTTCTCCATTCGTGGATAACAGCTCCTATTTAAGACTTTTGAACTCCTAAAGCCTTAGAAATAGTGTTGTACCCCTTTCCAGATAGATGTCATTGACTTTTCAGGTATTTCCTTAGATCGTGGCATGAGCTGTTGCTTTTTGAGATTTATTTTGCTTCACTTAGTCGACAAGTTGTATTTAAGTGATTTCTTGTACTCAGCATGTCTGGCAGTAATCAGGTTTGAGGCACAAAGTCCTTTTACCGGTGCAGACTACATATGCAAAAATACACATGCATAGATTCAACAAATGAAATCTTTCAAAAATTGCTGACTTTATGCCAAAATATGATATAAACATATCTGAATATTGCGGTTGTACCCCATCTTTGCTATTGCAGAATTCTCACATAGATTTTACTTCAGAAACTGTCCAACGTCATCTTGACTGTGATTTGCTCCTGTAATAAAACAAACAATAAAACAACTTTACCTTACTTTATAAGGTAAAGTCTCTATTTTAAAAATACATTTTTTGGAGTAACCCAAAACCCAACTTCACTGTACTTTAATAGATGTTAATTGATCAATAAATCAAACACCTATTGCCACTCTCTCTCGCTCTCTCTCGCTCTCTCTCTCTCTTTCAGTCGCTAGGGAAGTGGGCGTGGCGTCGTAACCAGGCAGTGACGTCAGCGGGAGCTGTTCAAAGTGGTGTGGTGCTGAAAAGACAACTCTCCCGGCCGCTCAGTCAGGCAGCCAGACGCCCGCTCGCTCGTTCGCTCGCTCGGCTCTAGGTCGGTTGTTCCGCGGCCAGCAGCTGGTCCGGGGACGCTGGATTTCACCGCCTTGAAGAGCGTTCATTAGCGCTCAGTGCAGGAAGACAGAGAAGGAGGAGAAGCCCATGTGGGAGCGATTTCCAACAAGTAAGTCGGCTCTTCCCTCAGCAGCAGTAGTAGTAGCAGGGACTAATACTTTTATACCGGGGTAGAGATGTTGGTAAATCGCGAGTGATCCTTTTGTAATAGCAGCACATGTGTGTGTGTGTGTGTGTGTGTGTGTTCCAGCCGCGCCTAAATCTTAGTCTGTGCCTGCCCGGGGTAAAACATTTGACTCACATTTGCATGAACCAATGGTCAGACATGCTCTCGTTCTCTGTCTCTCTCTCTCTCCGTGTGCGTGTGTGCGTGTGTGTGTGCATGTGTGGCTCTCTCACACATGCACATTGTTTTCCTTGCCTGGATGTCTGGGATGAGATGCGGTGCAAGTGAATGGAAAGTCTCCCCCTCGTACTCGCTGTTTCAGTGAGCTACACGACAGGAACGGTAACTCTGATGTTTTCAGCTGGACTTAAACGTGGTGTTCACTTCACTGGCTGACTGTGCTTTTTCATAAAGCTGCCGCCTGATGCAGTGGCTTTGTGGTTTGAGTGGTTTACACCAGCAGGCATCTTACTGGGAGGACTGGTATTTTAGTGGGCAGGCCTGCTGCTGTGTCTTCTGATAACTGATACAGCATCACAGTGTGGCAGAAAGTGCACCAGACTCTCTGTTAGTGAGGTGTGTGTGTTGTGTGTGTTGTGTGTGTGTGTGTGTGTGTGTGTGTGTGTGTGTGTGTGTGTGTGTGTGTGTGTGTGTGTGTGTCTTTTCATTCCAGAGTATATGTTTAGGTGTGGCCTGACCGGTCTCCTCTCCTCTCCTCATTTCCTTTTATGGGTTCTTCTTTTTCACCTCCTTCCCTCAGTTTCCTGCCCCTGCTTCTTCCTTCTCCTTCTTTCTTTTTTCCTCTTTATGCCCTCATCAGTCTGATAGCTTGTTTTATCTTCAGTCTTTTGTTTCGTCCTCCTTTCCTCTTCTTTTCTCCAACACTCTTCTCATCATGGATTTTTTCCCTCCCTCTTTTAATATTTCTTCGTCTTGTCTTTTCCATCTGTGATGTCTTAAGTTGTCAGACATTTAATTTCCTCTTCCTCATCAGGTCTCTCTTATCTTTTTTTATTTCTTTTTTACCTCTCCTTTCCTCCTTCCTCATCCATCTTATCCTTTTCTTGTACGTCCTCTGTCCTCCCCTTTTTGCGCCTCCCCTTCTCCCTCTTTCTTGTAATCTGGTCTTTCTTTTTTCTTCCCACTCTTTTCCACTACATCCTTTCCTATTCATTTCTTCCTTTCATCTCTCACTGTTTTATCATCTCTTAGTGTCTTTTGTTTCCTCCTTCATTTACTTCTTTTGCCTTACTTGTCCTTGCCTACACCCTTTTTGTTCTCTCCTTTCCTTCCTTCACTTTCTCCTCTCCTTTTTTTGTCTCACATGTGTTTCTTTCATTTATCTCATGTTGTTTCCTTTCCTCTTCTCTTTCCCACCTTCCTTCTTTTTTCTTAATCTTTCACTTCCTCTGCAGTATTGCTTTATCGCCCACTTTTATCTTTTGTTTCCTTCTTTTTGTTAAATCAATATCATGCCCTCTTCTACCCCCATTTGGCTCTAATCTCCCCCTTTTGGTTCTCTCCTGTTATTTTACTTTCCTCCCTGCCTTTCTTTCCTTCTCCTCTTTTCTTAGCTTACCCCCACATTGTTTCTTTTTCTCTCCATTTCTTCTCTTCCTTTGCTGTCCTGCAACTTTTCTTGCCACCTCTTCTCTTTTTCTCCCGCTCGACATTTATTCTAGTCTTGCCTTATCTCATCATATTTCCTTTCATCCTCGTCTCTCGCATCTTTTTTCTATAGCTTGGTCTTTCCACTCTTCTCTCCTATCAGTTTTTTATTGGCATTGCTGATGTGGTGAAAGGGAGTGGAGCCTCCACACATATGCACATCCAAAGTAAAGCAACCGGCAGTCAGCTCTACTGTCTTTTTGATTTTGCTCTCCTTGCAGCATAAACACCATCCAATGTGACAGCGGCCCTGTAGAAGACATCAAAGTCTGAAACCTTTTTTCCCCCATTAGGACTCATTTTCCATCTAATTTGCCCGTTTTCTGTATCTCCTCATTAAAGCTTTAAGATCATTTTTAAAAAGGGCCCAATTTGAAAGTTCAGAAGCTGAGGGGTGCTTATTTTTACTTCCTAAATCAAGATAATGACCCTGATCACGCCACTGTGACATCATCTTTTTATCCAAATTTGGAAAGATCCCTTTAAGGACTTGCCACACTGCATCACTCCCTTTCAATAAACACATGTGGTGTCACAGGAATCACCAAGACCTCATGTTTACAGAAATATAGCCCATTAAAATGTATTTTAAACACTGCTTGCATCACAGATGTGAGGACGTGCTGTGTCCCAAATCTTTATGACTGCTGGGTATCAGGACTTGTGCTTTGCAGCTGCTGGAAAAATGAAATGTAAAGAAACAGATGCTGTGTGAGAAAATCATTTGGTTACAGTAGCTGTTTATTCATCCATCTGTTTTTCTGTCACTCTACTGTACTGCCTGTGCTATGAGGCAGGTTTAACCCTGGGTTTTCATGCTTACAAATGTTGTTCACTTCTTACCAGGGCACATCACCATGGTAACTTATGCTGCAGACCTAACCTGCTTCAGAAAAAAAGAAGCAATCAATTTCCTGGGAAAAAAAGCATCAATGATCTTCAACGATCCCTCTCAGACATCTACAGCCTTGTCTTTCCTTTAGGAATACCTACAAGAAGTATAGATTCTTGGGAACAATTTTATTTCTTGTTCTTTTCTAACCTTTGTTGGCCTCAGGCAATTTTAAAGCCACTTCATTGTTCTTAAAGGCTTAAAATAGGAATATATAGTCGTAAAACAGGGCGCCTAAATGTTGCATTTGTTAACTTTATATCAATGCAACAAGTAAAGCTTCTTAACAGCTAGCTGTGCTGATCCCAGGTATGAATGTCCTGGCTGGCTGTGGCATGTTCAGGTAAACTGCTGATTTTAAGTGGAGACCTGTCAAGGTCTACGTTAAGGATGAATGTGGTTAGATCCTCCTGTATCGTGATGATGGCGTGGTGATACTTATAGGTCTGTTAACTGAAACAGATGCCTTTTCTCTTTGCGTCCAGACTTTAGGATTCGTTTTTTTAGTCTTACTCAAAGTACTTTGCCGGAAGTCACATTCAAACATTGACACAGCATGATGTTGTGCTATAGCTAGATGCACACACACATACACATTTCTACACTGACTCCAGCAGTGATGCTTTATATTGCGCACTCTGTGTTTAATCTGTACAGTTTCTTCTAACTGTACAGAATGTTGTTTTTGCTCTTCTTCCTGTAGACCTGCACATGTTTGAGGTTCTACATGCAGTGCTGTGAAAAAGCATTTTTTCCGCCTTCCTGCTTTTTTTTGCCCTTTTTTTGTCATTTTTTTAAGTATATGTTTTACATTTGGAGTGGCCAAGTTAAAGTCTGGACTCAAATCAGATTGAGATGCTTTGGCATGACCTTAAAGGCACCATCCATGGTAGAAAACTCTCCAATGTGGCTTTTCGAGCAAAGAAGACTAGGACAAAAATCCTCCACAGCACATGAAAGATTCATTTCCAATTATTGCAAACACTTGATTACAGTTCTTGCTGCCAAGCGGAGCACAAGCAGTTATTAGGGTTAGGGGGGAAATGACCTACATAGCCAGGTAAGTCTGGAAAATGTTCTTTGAATTTTCTGACAATATGAGAGTGCTGTATAATGTATGCTTCTGCATTCATGTGGATGTAAATATAGGTACACAGAAAGCAGTTTAAGCCCTCTCTTTGCATCTCTTTGCATTTAGATCTGTTCTCATAGCCCGCCTCTTTTTGTAGTTCCCCGGTTATCTCAGAATTAGAGTAATCCTGTGCCTTTAGTCAAAACACCATGTCTGCTTTCAGTTCTGTCACACATTTAATGGGGCTCGTGGTTGCCAGCGCAGCAGAAGTCTTCACAATATGCCTGCATCTTTAAACACAATCTCGAGACTAACATCTTCAGTCTGGCTTGCACAACATCTCCGCGTTTGCCAGTTTGATTGCTTAAATCATCACCTTCTGTTTGATATTTAGAAATGAAAACTGTGAGTCATAACCCTCTTTGGTGAGTGCCTGTTATTGTTATTCTTTTCTAATTGTGGTTTTACATGTGTAATCTTTCAAACAAATGTCCTGATGTCTTTATTAAATTCAGTGGATGCTGAGAGCTTTGATGATTAACATCTCAGAACGAGGCCGGAGGCGTGATCTGCGCTCAGTTTGATGGCTCGATTTGCTGCGTGTTCAAAAATCCCCCGAAAAAGCTAACTATGACTCCCCCCTCTTCCAGTGGCCTTTCTGTTACTGGCAGAAAATGCGAAGGGAAGTAGTTCAACTAGTCATGGCCCTGGGTGTCCATCAGTCTGGGCTATCTGTTCCTGACAGGCAAAGCAGGTGATTGAGCGGACCCGGCTGGTCAATAGCGGAGGGAGGTGCGGGGGTCTGTCATGGGAGTTCAGAGATACCTGATAGTGCAGGATCCAGTTTCTCTCCCTGCAGGCAGGTACAGAGAGATCATAAATACTCGTTAATAGATGGTGGCATAATATTTGGTTCTCACAGTGAATGGAACAATCCACCTGCTCTAAATTGCCTCAAGGAGGTCAGAGGTCATCTCGGTGAAAAACATGACTAAGATGGATGTTTGTCATTACAGAAGCTAAGACTTGAGCTGATCATCTGCTGCAGCTGGTTGTCAGGCTCTGTTCACTCTTTACTCTGTGAAGTAACCCATGAAGCTCTTTTGGCTTCAGGTCTGCTTATAGAGCAAAATGACTGGCTTTGCATCAGAAGTTAGAGAGGGGGTCTCTGCCTATCCAGAAACTGCTCTAGTGCTCGCCAAACCGCGTTTTTATTGATATATAAACTCATCATTAAGGGCATCAAATGTCATCTTTATGGGGGAATCAAGAAGAGATGCCTTGTGAGTGTATCTCTGAACCAGCAGCAGC